ACAATTTCTGGAGGGCCACCCATTTCCCCCATCCTTGTGTGAGAGTTTTGTTTACATGGCTGCAGACCCTTTCTCGCTTCCCTCACTTCATCCCAGGATTGCAGTAATGCAGATGGCACGACTTCATCAGCAAGCCAGATTTTTATCCCTCCTTTGTCTGAATGTGGTTTTTTGCACATTTGATGGAGAGATCTGCAGTGAGTGAGAGCTTGCACATCTGTGTATGTGTGTGTATGTGAAATCTTTTACTTGCAGTGAAAGTCTTCTTTTGCTATAGGCTTTGGATTTTTATTTTTTTTACAGCTCTTGCCAACACCCTTAACTTTGTCTTTTGATCAAAATAGTGAATCTGCTCTCAGAGGCTTCCTGGTTCTAAACCCACCATGCTTTGTTTACCGGCCAAGTTTCCCCTTAATTATTTCAGTACGTTAGAGGTCCACAAGTGTAAATTCCAGTTTTTCTGCTTTTGCTGATTTGTGGCCTTTGGCAGAGAATTGTACTTTCAAGAAGTGACTACTTGTGGTTACAGTTACAGAGATATAGGGATAGTTACTGGTGTGGTTGTATTTAAAAAACAAAACAAATAACAAATAACTCTCTACTTCCTTGTTCTCAAAAGTAATTAAAGATAATTACTCAGAGGTATAACTGGGGAGGGGGGACAGTATGAGAACATTGCTCCCCCCCGCAAAAAAAGAATTCTGCCTCCTCAAATTAAATTTTCCATCCTGTCCCAAATTTCTAGTGTTGCAGAGAAAGAGACATTGGCAATTGTTCACACCTAGACCTCTTCTGTTTACTGTGTTTTGCATTCCCTTGGTCATTTTCCCTGCCCTGTCTTTGGATGCTAAACTGAATTTCTAAATGCTCAACTGAAATTTTAAGGTACTGTAATCCTGGAAATTTGGGGGATGAAAGAAAATTTAGTGGGGGAGGAGATGGGAGGCAATGCACTAATCCTCCCCACTGTAGTTATACTCCTTCAAAATATATATTTTTTTCTCATTCAGCAGTAAAAATCAGTATCTGAACCACCTAACGGTAATAGTTTTCCTGTGCCTTGTAGTGAGGCCACATCCCACAATGGTAGAAGTAACTAAGAAGTGACCACTGCATAGTGAAAGAATGAGGTTGTCTTCATTATACTGCAAAAGTAATGCAATACCTTCATTAGTAGAAAAGGGAATTAATTAATAAATTGAAAATAATGACTAATTTGTAACTAGTTACTTCCACGCTCTGGCACTTGCTGAGACAGCCACTTACGACAAAACCAGAGATTCCAGAGTCAAGGTGTGTTGAATTACATCTCAAAAGATCAGTGCTTCCTTCCCCACTGCACATAATTTTGGGTCAGCTCAGCTCCCAAATTAAGGAATTTTGGTTTATATACCCATGCAACTGAATTAACAGGTGTTTAGTATGTGGATGAAGGCATTTGCCTCTGCCATTCATGTGGAACTGGTTCTTCACCTCCAATTTGTATCCTTCAATTGTCTTTCTGACCTGTTGCACAAAATCTGATAACTCATCTGAATGGGTGAGCAGGAAGGGAAAACAGGGAGTGCTTTGTTGATTCTGCAAACAGACGTTGAATAGCAATTATAAGGGTTTAAAAATATTTTTTAAATCCTCACATGGGCTGCCTGGCATTGGAGAGAGGTATAGCAAGAGCAAAAGATATGTACAGCGGATCCTTGGTATCCGCTGGGTTTGGCTCCAAGACCTCCTGTGGATACTAAAATTCGTAGAGGCTCAAGTCCCATTAAATGCAGTGGCATAATAAAACAGTGTCCCTTATATAAAACGGCAAAGTCAATGTTTGAATTTTGTTTGAATATATATATATATATATATATATATTCAATGTTTGAATATATATATATATATATATACCGGTATATATAAAACATTTGTTTTCTCTATCTTCCCAAA